GAGGATTGTGTCTAATTAAGTACCAAAATAATTAATCTAAATTTATTTGAACAATCAAATAGGGAGAAACTTTAATTGAAAATAATAAAAAGAAAATAACAAATAAATCTAATCAAGATAAGAGGTACTAAGGCATTGATTTCACCATAATCAATCAATATAAATGCTGGATTAATATACTTTTAAAACCAATTTATTGAGTGTTATTGCATGTGATGGCGGATTTCCCTAAATTAATTAACTAGCTTTCTCAAGTCAAGTTAATCATTCACTAGTTTGTTAATTAATCATATCTCTATGTAATTTTAAACCAACTAATGAGTATTAAATTCTATGGAAACCTCTAGCTTAAGAAGGGGGAGCTCCTAACTCTCTTCTCTTCCTCTACTACCACATATGAGCTAATTACCTCTCGGTCTCATTGTCTAGCACACGGTTTATATTATTATTGGTCTAATCTATGCAATTCTTTCTCATGTTCATGCATAAATCACTAAATCAATTGAAAGGTGATCAGACTTCCAATGCATTAATTTCAATAATATAAACTACTCATGCGAATAACTTTAATTGAAAGTATAAAATCGCAAAATCTATATTGAATTAATTAGGCTACATCATAGCCTTAATAAAATAAATCAGTTCATAATAAAAATAATAAAATATGAAATCAAAGTTATGAATATTCAAATATCAAACAATAGATAAAAATTTAAGGAAAAACAAAACACAATTTGAGGAAATCGAACTCTTTGATCTTTTATTGTTAAATCCTTTCTCTTAATCTCCAAGAGTGCCCAAAAGAGGGCTGCCACAAGCCTCTCAAAACTCCCTTAATTCTGAATTTAGATGGGTATTTATAGGATTTTAGAAACCCTTGTTGGAATAGAAGTAGCACTTGGAACAAAAATAGGAAACTGAATTTTGGATGCAGATCACGTTGTGCTGACACTTCAAATTACGTGTTGACACACAAAGTAGGAAACAGAATTTGATTCTGGACGTTTAACGTATGGTGTCGACACCCTAATTACGTGTCGACACCCTGATTACGTGTCGACACTACACTCGTGTCGGGTTTTTGGCCTCCTTTTGCAATTTCTTCAATGGTAAAATGGCAGATCTGGTTCCTAACTTCTGGATTCCGCACAAGTTGATCCTCAAGTCTCTGATCTCTTCAATTTACTTTTAAAAAGTAAGATTTCTTCCAATTAAATCATTTCCCACACAAAGAATGAAAACCATGTAAAATCAAACAAAATCCCATAAAACTTATCCAAATATCAATAATATCAAAGTAAAAATCCCTTATTAATATGTATATAAATTTAACTCATCATTTTTCTTTCTTTCTTTATCTTTATACTCTTATGAAGTAGTGTTATTCACAACCAAACTGAGAGTTTAACAAAAAAATCTTTGGAATTTGTTCATCCAATAAAATTTTGTTTGAATGTTACAAGATAATATAATCTTATAATCTAGATTTGTTATTATATATATGATTAACACTTTTTAAACAATGTCCATCTCTGATTTAGTATTCATTAATTAATTTAATAATGCATTATGATTATAAGGTTATAATATTGCTTGGTATTGTAATTATATCATTGCCCAAATGAAATAGTCAAATGTCGAGATGAAATAGTTGACCCATAAATCTTAATTGTCCAATGGTGGGAGGGACATAATCTTCAATGACCAGAGCTTCATGTTTAGTTTCTTTTTAGCCACATGAAAGCCTTCTCACAAGGATTTCTTCTATATCTTTTCTTTATTAATAAATTTCTTTATTAATAA